TTTTTTTTTTTTTTGCGAAATATGATTCAGAATAGTCAGATTAGTGTAGATTATTACGTCAATTTGACGTCATGTTGTCATTTTCTCGTTACAGAAAGTTAAAAACTACGTCATATTGACGTAAATGTGTAATATTGTGAAAAAACAGAGAGTATTATTCTGTTATATTGGAAATTATTTTACGAAATTCTTTTACAGTATTTTATAGCTTTTATATTTTATAAAAATTATATCTTTTTTCCGATACATTATTTTGTAATATATATATATATATATATCCTAGAATGCTCGAAAGGATTATTGATGATAATAACATTGTATACTTTTAGTATGACAATGGGATAACAGCGTGAGCCACTAAATAATAAAAGTGTCACGTTAATCCCGGGTTTATTTATTGTAAACCGATGCAATAAATATAACGAATTAAATTCATTTCGTTATTTTATTTTTCTTTCTTAACGATAATAATTAATTTATATATTTTCTTGAATACATATTTAAGTATAAAACTTTAATTTAAATATAAAGTTTTATACTTAAATATGTATTCAAGAAAATAAATTAAAATGGTTTAATGTAATTAATTCGAGAACTTAGATTTATAAAGAGGGATTTTAGAATTAAAGAGATTAGTTTAATTAAACAATTCGTTATAACCGGGATTTAGCATAAATCTTTAAACCATTTAATAACCTCGAAACAACGTCCTTTCAATGGTCGTTCTTAACAGGTTTGGCTTCTATTCTTTACAAGATATTTTTCGAATTTAAACATTATATCTTGTCTATAAGGGTTTGTTTATTTATTTACAAGAAAATAAAGTTTCTTTATTTAAAAAAATATATATATAATGAAACTTTTTAAAACTACATTTGTTGCTATATTTATTTTTATATATATATATTTTTCTTTTCCTTGAGAAGTGTACTTTTAGTGGAAAAAATATTTGTACTTTCGAATCTGTCAGTTTGATATATTTCTATCTGTATTACTCTCAAACCTCCTAAGGAAGTTATATAAGAGAACTCTTGTCTAAACAATGTCAATACCTATCTCGAGGCAGAATGGGGTGAGTGCAAACCATTTGGGGGTGAGAAAAAAAAAAAGAAAAGGAACATACCTGAGAAAAAATAGTTGCATGCTATTTTCCAATGACACTTCTCTAAATGAAGAGTTATGGCTTTGTAATGCTCATTTAATGCCTTACTTACTTAAAGAATTAATCTTGTAATTTCAATTTCTAAACAGTTTAATTCAGGCCCTCTATAAATTACTTATTCATGCCTTTACTACTACTACTACTAATAATAATAATAATAATAATAATAATAATAATTAATGGTAATTAAAATGATCTGTTTTACTTACATTTTTAAAGAAGAATGTGATTGTTATGACGTTTGTAACGAATGATAGAACTTGTAACTAATGAAATTAACAAACAGACTCGCAGTATTTGTAATGAAGCGACGACATTTGTAATTAGCAGAAACATGTCAACAAACGTCATTTTTCTAATGAAAAATGGCATTTGTAGCTAACATGGTTTTCGATAAACAAAGGTTTTTTAGCCAGCGACAACACGAATGACGGCGCTTGTAACTAACTTCGATGTATCATTTGTAATGAAACACAGCAGGATTTGTAACGAACTGCGAGCGTTTTAAATCGAATAAATCGTTGAAACGAATTGCGACGTAATATTTGTGAAGAATTACTGTATTTGTCGCAATACGGTAAACCCTCGATTTAATAGATATACTGTATCGCCTTTCTATA